GAGGGCATTGTCTCCCCACTCTCTAAGTCTATTCTCCCTCCTCTCTCTTTTCGTCTGTGTATGATTCTCCCATCTCATTCTATCTGGACACGATTCTGATTATTGATAATCATCAGCAGGTTTATATTCATCTGGGCTTGCATTGTTGACAAGTGTCTTCACGATCTGGGTTCATTGCAATTTGGTATCGGAGCTTACTCCTGACAACGACGACTGATGTGATGACAACAAGATCTGACGTGGACAACGACGAAGACCGCCAGTGTTGCTGACGTGGCACGGACTTCACTCGCGAGAAGACCAGATCCCTACACGATTGCTGACGTGGCAATCGGGATCGCGATCAAGAGTGACCGCGCGCCAGCCAGGATCGCAATAGTGAGGCGGCATTGCGATCCCACGCTCACGTGGCCTATCATGTGCCACGTCTAGAGACTTGGTTGCGCGAGATTGCTGACGTGGCATTCTCACACTGCATTAGCAGCAGAGGCGCAACCAAGTCTGATACAGATGCTGATGTGGCCTTTGGACATCAAGGCTGATTGCTGATGTGGCAGGCAGGTGACAAGCCTGCTGACGTGGTATTGGCTCCATTGGCTGACGTGGCATTGACTTGATTGGCTGAAGCAGCGATGGTATCGCACTAAGACGTGAGGAAGTGGCAAGTGGGAAGGACCAGAGCTTACATTTGCTGACGTGGCATCCCACCATTGATTGATTAGACACTGATGTGTTGACGTGGCAGATCTGCTATGTTGGCACGCCAGGGATGACACGTGGCAGGCAGGTGGCTGCCAAGTAAGAGTTGCACCTTGAAGACGAAGGTGGTACGGCTGATTGAACGGATGACTGGACAGTTGTAGTGCCAACTGTCAAGAGGGGTGCGGTATCGCATTGACCCCAGGAACGACGCAGAGAAAAGAAGAAGAAGATTGCTGACAAATTGTTTTGTTGATTGATGTTGGCATACTTACCTGCCGTTTGTTGTGTTGTGGTGCTGTGCATACTTGTGTGTTGTATCTGATCACACGGGCCTGAGGTGGTACCTGTACACTTGATTAGAACGTCATCACACAGACAGACAAAGAACAACTGTAGTTAGAAATAAAAATAATTGTATTTTTATCAAGACCGAAGGAAAGGATCAGGAAATTTCTTTGGCTCAACTTGTGACCTACCTAGCTCACCTTGAGATGGAAATTGATTAGTACAGTGAACAGATGCAGACACAGATTGATGATGTGGCGGCGGGACTACGGACAATCACAAATCTGGCCAAAGGAAAGCATCAGGTGGTTGAGGAAGTCAAAACAAAAACAGAAGAAAGACCAAAGAAATTAATGGGAGATGCCATGAAGTCTCTCAATGGAGAGACTCAGAAACTGAATGAAAAGAAATCAGAAGAAAAGAAATCGGAAGACAAAAGGGAGCCGTCGAGTCCGCCGAAGTCTCCAGACGGGAAGAAAGAGACCACCACACAGCCTGAGAAGCCTAAGAAGAAAGAGAAGGTAAAGATGAAATGCCTTTCACATTCAGCAATAAGAAGGATGAAAATTTGTTGTTGTGGATTGCCGAGATACAGACGTATTGTAGTAAGGCCCATGTTGAACCCGAGTCCCAAGTTGCTTTCTCTACTTGTCTTGGGAGGGAAGCAAAGGAATGGGTTTTGGCCGAAGCCAATGCAGTGGGGTTTGATGAAATTGGGGAGTGGGCTGCAACTTTGAACCTGAAGCAGTTCCTTGGTAAGATTAAGGAACGCTTCTTAGACAAAACGATGGCCGACAAGGCCTTTGACCAGCTCACTGCCATTGGTCAAAAACATTGGACCTCGGTAGAAGTTTTGTCTCGGGAAGTTGATCGGTTGTTGCAGGTTCCCAGATTGAACCTGCAGGACAACCAAGTCTTATATATCTATTCCCGTGCTCTCCCTGAGCCCATTCGAGGACAACTCGTGACAGAGTCAACATTCGGTAAGTACAATTACACGCAGTTTCGTGATCTTGCTCTCCAGAGGGAGCAAATGACTTTTCAGGTAAAGAACTCGTATGCATATGTTGTGAAGGTTGGTGGTGGTGCAGGATCAGGCACGCGGATACTTTGGTGCCAAAAGCGCCAGGACCACACCCTCGTCGTCTTTGATGACGATACTGTGGAGAAGTGGCCATTGGAGGCCGCGGGTGTGGCGAGCAACAGCGAGTCTGGGAAGGGGGAAGTCACTGCTGCCGTGATCAACAAGGGAGGACCACGGCCGCAGGTAAAGAAGAAGAGACCACGCTCATTCTCAGAGCATCCCGGAATTGTCGGGAGGCCGTGGGAAAAGATGGGCCTGTCACGAGAAACGTGGCAGGAACGGATGGACAACGCGCAGTGCCTGAAGTGTGGCACTGCAGGGCATGTGATTACATGGTTCCCATTAATCCGAAACCCAAAAGCGAGCAACCACTAGGAGTAACATCTGCTCCTACTGAGTCTAAGGGTTTGGATGTAGAAGGTAAGGCGCCTACTAACCCTTCCAACCCTTTGACTCGCGTGGCAGAGGATGGTTCTTCTTCGGCCCATCGTCCGGAACACCCTGAACTTGTCTTATGCACTCTCTCTGGACGACTCTCTTGACGAGCTCGATAACGAGTTGCTGGCATTACGAAGCTCGTGGGCTAAGAAATTTAAGTCTAAGGGTGACCTATTAATCGCGGATTTAGAGATTGCACATACACGCGTAGGTGCACTATTGAACTCGGGATCGACGCGATCCTACATCTCCGAGAAAGCAATCCGCAAGTTGCATCTCAGAATGAAAGTGACAGATTTGTCTCGACCTATCACGTCTATTTTGGCTAACAGAAGCACGATCACTATCTCGCAGTGTGTTGATCGTGAAGTGTCGTTTTTTAACCAAGGAAGGTAAGGAGATTTTGCATGAAGTATCCTTCCTGATAGAAAAAAATTTACCCTTTGATTTGATTCTGCGAATGGACTGGCACGAGGAATTCAACCCCGAAATCAATTTCAAAGAGAAGACGGTGCAACTGAGGGATGCACACTCCAAATTGAAACCAATCAAATGGTACCATAAGTCTGGCTTTGACTCTAGTTTGTCTTTCTGTTGCACGAGTTACCCAGCATTTCAAACGATAGTTTCAAAGAAGAAATTGGAACAGGAAGTAATGATGGTCTTAGTAAAGAAGGCAGGTGAATGTTCTACTTCCTATCCTCCTTCGATTGAGAAACTCCTGGAAGAGTATAAAGATCTGAAAACTGAACCAACAGGCCTTATCTGGAATGTTATCAAGCACACGATTGAAATTGTTCCTGGCAGTAAGATTCCCAAGGGCCTTATCTGCCGAATGTCTTCTAGGAAACTTGAGAAACTTAAGAAGCAGTTGTAAAAGGATGGATTCGCCCTAGCTCCTCTCCTTACGGTGCCCCTGTCCTCTTTGTGCCCAAAAAGGAAGGTTGCGTCTTTGTATTGACTACAGAGGGTTGAATGTCATCATTGTTAAAAATGTCGAACCTCTTCCATGTATTGACGACTTATTGGACCAGTTGCAGGGCTGCAAGTTCTTTAGTAAGATTGATCTAAAGTCTGGATACCACCAGATCGAGGCGGATCCTGCGGATCAACACAAGACTGCGTTCTGCACCAGGTACGATCACTACGAGTTCGTGGTTATGCCTTTCAGACTGAATAACACCCCAACGACCTTCTAAAGATCCATGAATGAAGTGTTTCGTTAATGGTTTGATCAGTTTGTCATTGTCTGTCTCAACGACATTCTAGTGTATAGTAAGACACTAGAAAATCACGAAAAACATTTACGTCTTGTATTAGGAAAGTTGCGGGAGAGCAACTTTAAGCTAAACCCAAAGAAGTCTGAGTTTGCTAAGTCTGAAGTCTTATACCTCGGACATATAGTGAACGAGGAGGGCCTAAGGCTCGAAGAAAAGAAAATATGAGCAATTAGAGATTGACCGCGACCTAAGTCTGTAACTGAACTACGACCTTTCCTTGGTTTGGCAAGTTACTACAAAAAGTTCGTCAGAAACTTTTCACAGATTGCCGCACCAATGAGAATATTACTGAAGAAAGGAACTATTTGCTTGTGGGACAAGGATTGTGAGTCCTCCTTCAAAAAGGTAAAGTATGCTTTGACTCGCTACCCTGTTCTAAAAATTGGTGATCCGTCTCTTCCTTTCATCGTTACTACTGAAGCAAGTCAGTATGGGATTGGCGTTGTCCTTCAACAAAATGATAGTAATGGTTATAGACCTATTGAATTTATGTTTGCACGTCTACCATCAGACAAGGTTGCCAACTCCACCTATGAAAGGGAACTATATGCCTTAGTCTGTGCATTGGACACATGGAAGCACTACTTGATAGGGAGGCACTTCACTGTGTACTCAGACCACTCTACCTTGAAGTGGATAAAGACACAGTCTGGACTCTCTGATAAGTTAGTACGCTGGTCTTCATTCATTGATACTTTTGATTTTGAATTGGAAACTATCAAAGGTAAGTCTAATGTGATTGCAGACGCATTGTCCAGACGTGATTTCTTCGGTACTATTGCCTCTTATTTGGATGTTGGGAGTGATCTAAAAGATAAAATTCGTCAAGGATATGCTACTGATCTTATTTGGAAGCCTATTATGGATGTCCTTGTGAAAGATCCATCTCTACTTCCTAACTATAGAGTGACTGATGGTTTGCTTTTCTTGTTAGACCAAACTGAACAAAGATTATGTATTTCTCATCAAGAAGAAATCAAAAGTTTGTTGATTGGGGAATGTCATGACTTTGAAGGACATTTTGGTTTCAAGAAAACTTACGCAGAGGTTAGAGAACGTTTTGAGTGGAAGGGACTGAAAGAAGACCTACTAACTACTTATGTTCGTACATGTTTGGTGTGTCAGAGAAACAAACCTTCACACGAGAATCCACTTGGTCTTCTGAAACCATTACCGATTCCTAGCGAACCAGGTGAGTCTATCTCAATGGATTTCATGAGTCTTGCCAAAAGCCGGAATGACAATAGTCAAGTAATGGTTATTGTGGATCGTTTCTCTAAATATGCCATGTTTATTCCTTTACCCGCAGAAGCGCGAACTGAATTTGTGATCCAAAAGTTTTCGATGTGATGGGTGACTGAGTATGGTTTTCCTCTCTCCATTGTATCTGATCGTGATGCCAGGTTCACAAGTATGCCATGGCAAAAGCTTATGGAAGCATACGGTACACGACTGATCATGTTGTCAGGGCGACACCCTGAAACGAATGGACAAAGTGAGCAGATGAACCGTTTGTGCCAACAACTTTTGCGCATGCATGTGCGTCCCGATCAGATTGATTGGGACGAGAACTTACCCAAGATAGCAAGTGCATACAACAGTAGTGTTCGTACCACTACAAGGTGTACGCCTAATGCACTGCACAAGGGGTGGAAACCTAAGCGTCTCATTGATGTACTAACACGGGACGAGTTCCTTAGGTTACCTCCAAGGACCCAGGAGTATGTAGTATTGTTTCAGGAACACATTAAGAAAGTAAAGGACAATCTGAAGAAAGCTTAGGACCAAATGATTGAACAAGCTAACAAGCATCGCCGACCATCAACATCCAAGGAAGGTGATCTAGTCTAGGTTAAGTCCAAAGAGTTTTCATAGAAGGAAAATGTGTCTCAGAAACTTCTGTCTGTCTATTTTGAACCTTGGGAAGTTCTCAAAGTAATTGGGGATGTAGAGGGACCGTCTTATCGAATTGATATTCCCCCTCACCTCAAAACGTATCCTGTCTTTCACGCGTCCAAATTGTTACCCTATGTAGAAGAACATGAGTTCCCAAATAGACCGTCTATGATTCCGCCAAAAATGGAAGGCGGATATGAAGTAGACCAGATCATAGAGCATGGGTACTTTTCTACAGGTGGACGTGGACGACCTCAAAAGCAGTTCAAGGTACGTTTCAAATCTCAAACACCGTCTGAGGACAGATGGTTTAGTAAACGAAACTGCTCTTGATATCGTATCCACATATGAACGTGGGTTGAAGTCTTAATTATTTCTGCGATGAAACTCGAAAATGGGTCGGCAGGAATGCAGTAACCCATGTCTGGAGCAGTCTTGGCCCTCGAAACGGAGCCTAGACGACGCAGGCCAAATTCGGCCTGCGCCAGGCAGTGTGACCACACACTGCCCTTAGGAAGCCAAAAAGTCTGAGTCAACTGTCAGGTCAAAGGTACCTACCTGCCCAGGCCCTTGGTCGGATGCACTCACTTGTTTTGCACAGGTACCCAGACAGCATCAAAGCCAGAAGGAATTCGGTTCCAGACCGAAGTCAAAAAGTTTGAGTCAACTGTCAGGTCAAAGGCACCCGCCCAAGCCCTTGGTCGGATGCACTCGCTTGTTTTGCGCAGGTACCCAGACATCATCAAAGCTAGAATGAATTCGGTTTCAGGCCAATCTGGGCCGTCTTTTGCATTGAGATCTGGACGGCTAAGGGAATCAGCATCCGGGGTCCAGACCCCGTGTCAACACTACATAAGCGCTGACTTTCTGACTTTGACATTCATTCAGTCTTGCGTCAATGCTGACTTCACGTGTTGACGACGATGATGGCTCGACGCTGCGACGCTGGTAAGACGTTGGCTTTGTGCTGGCACTTGGGTGATTACGGCGACGCGATGCTGGCTCAGCATGGTGGCTAGCTTGCTATTGTCTTCTGGGCATGCGGACGTGGC